GGGGATGAGAACAGAAACAACAGTCATAACCGTTTTATCTTATTAAGTACCTGTGCAATTTATTTCCCATTTCATCCCATAGAGCATTTCCTGAAGGAAGCAGATTAAATTATAGGTTTTCTGATTAGCATGTTTTTAAAACAACAGCTTCTCCTCTGCTGTCAGTAAACTACTCGGACACCTGTCTCAGCCCTATATGAACTTGCCAAGTGACTCACTTCTGAAAGGGGCTGCTTTCCAAATTATGACTTGTATATATGTGGTGGCTGCAATTACAGATTGTTATCAAGGGCCCTACATCATCTGATTGCTTGTTGGATGTCCGGGGCCAGGCACAGCAGAAATACCACAGGTCTAGAGAAAGGCGGTAGAAATTACCAGAGGCCCATAAGGGGCCTAGGGAAAGTACTCGTTGGGAAGAATTAGATCCTAAAGTTTGCAGGCAAGTAGAAGTGTTGACACTGTCTGTTTGAAGCTCACAAACGGATAATGGTCCCCCCAAATTCCTTTTTTGCAAGCCCCAGTGAATTTTTAGGGTTAGCAATGAAATTATAAGTCAATAATGGATAAAAGAGTAAATACGAGAGTTAGCCTTCAGGCAATGAACTTAGTCAATTCCAAAGAGAGGATCTGGGCCTTTGGAATGTTTCTTACCCCAGATGTGTGCCAGACAGGTGGTTGGGAAGGCGGCTTACGTTCTACAGGCCGGCACACAGACATCCAGGGGAAAGAGGCCAAGTGGCTCAGATGCTTTGGAGAGTTCGGGGCATCACTGGGGGCAAAGAAGACACATAGCCAGATGGGCTGGTTGGCCTTTCCAGCCCCACACAGCTAAAAGTAAAAACTGACTGCTACCATTGAATGAGAAGTCCTGAGTGCTGGGCCTGAACTTTCCATGGACTGGCTCATCTTTGGAAGGACCCTAAGAAATAGGTACTATTACCGCTCCCGTTTAACTGAAACAGAGCTGGATAACTGGCCCCAAGTCATGAACAGTAGCTGGGAAGTGGTAGAGCTGAGCTCCGGACTGCAGGCTCCTGTTCTTCCAGACAGGTGTCCTGCCTGCGGCCCTGGCTGAGGATCAGATCTTTCAGGTTCACGTAGCTTCAGGAGCATGATCCTTCCTGTGGGGATGGGGCTTCTAGACCAGGAACCTGTGTGCTGGGTGGAGTGTAATGGACTCCATGTGCCTCTGAATCTCTAAAGAAAAGCAGTCACAGGATTTATGTTTGTCACCCATTAGAAAGTCGCCTGGATACTCTCCCATGAATTCATATCATGCAGCAAATGTTACGAGGACCCCTCCTTGGGATTGTCTTTAATGTAGATTTTTATTCGGAAATCCACTAGCCAAAGAGACATAGGTCAAATAGCATTGCTGGGAGCTCCAGGTAATTATTCCCAGTGCCTTCCTGTTCTGCTCCAGCTTTGTTTTTCCTTACGTGTCAGCTTGGAGCACTGGTCCTAGCACAGCCTTTTATCTTAGTCCCTGTTTTACAGAAGAGAAACAAGCCAGAGGTGTTAAGCTAACTTTCTGGCTAGGATTGGGACCCAAGTCTGTCCGACTCCTGGTTCATCAAAGGAGGCTGCTTAACTGTAAGAAAGATGTGGCCTGTCTCAGAAACCTCTTCTTGCCATGGTTCCTAGAGTGATCTGGGGCATGGCTGGGCTCAGCCTTAATGGAATTTGACTTCTTCCAGGGTCAGAGGTTAGAGGACAATGCATGTCAGGCCTGCCTGCTTATCTGGGCCCATCCCCAGAGAAGAGGAAAGACCATGGCTTCTCCTCTCCTGGCAAAGGGGACTTACAAGAAGAATGCTTGTTTGTTCATGCTTCTGGCACTTTTTAAACCCTAGAACTTTAGAATCTTCCCAGGTATAGAGCAGCAAAAATGTTTGTGTAGGCCAGAGGTTGCAAATTGGCAGCTTGGAGTACATTCTGCTCACGGCCTGAGTTTTATTTGGCAAGTAGAAGGTCAGCCTGAAGAGTATTTTAGTTTTCTTTTCCTTGCTTGGTGAGATTTGAAAGTCAGAACATTTCACCTAATGTAATGATACAGACCTGGGCTTTTCTTGAGAATCGGATATTCTAGCGACACTGGGTTTGCATCCTTGTGTGGCACCATGCAGCAGCAGTGAGTAGCAACTGCTCCCACTGGTAGAAGTAGCTCGGGTCTCCCAGATCCTACTGTCCCCACCTGTCTCTACAGCCCCTCTGACTGATGTGTGCTACCTGCCTGGCTGTGTTTTAGGGAGAGAGAGAGAGAGAGAGAGAGAGATTGAGAGAGAAGCCCTGTGGATGTTGAAGTTTTGGAGCCAATCTGGGATGGGCAGGTAACCAGGCTCAGCACCTGATTAATTCAAGCATCCAAATCTGAATGGGCCCCCAAACCAAACAAGGCCTTTGACAGATGTGAGCCACCCTTTTCAAAGCCTGGATGCTCCAGAACGTCAGTCTCTTTCAGGCCTAGGAGAGGCCAGAGAGAGGTCCCTTCCTCTCACTGTTATCCACATAGAACTTCATAGAAAAGGGAGGGACTGGGTCTCACTTCAACTTCTCATAGTTTTTTTTTTTTTTAACTGATCTTAAGCACGAGTCCAGTTCATTAGTTTTGGCAGTGTACACTGGTATTTAGAGAAATCGGGTTGCAGGAAATCGCCTGTGTATATAGGCACAGATATATTTATATTTTAAATTCATTAGGGTTTCCTAAATGCAAAAGCAATCCTGCTGTCATGGAGAAACAGCATGGCAGAATATTCGGCAGCCGGGATTTTAAATAAAACATGCTTTTTCTTCATAATTAATATAACAAGGTTTCCTGGCTTAAGACTTGGCAAAGATCCCAGGAAAAGTGGTTGGGGGAGGGGATTGGTACAATGCGCCTGGGACCCAACGACCAAGTACAGGAAGAGTCTGTGCTGAGCGAGATTTCCTCAGTCAGCCCTTCTTCTGGGGGTCATTCAGCTCTTTGCCTCCACAAAAAATACAATTCAAACTCACTGATAACAGTGGCTAATAGTAGTAACATAATAATAGTAACAGTAGCAACCATTTATCCAGTCTTTACCATATGCCAGACAACTGTGTGCTTTGTGCGTATTATCTCATGTAAGACTCTGACAACCCTAGGAGGTAGGGACCAGTGTCATTCTCATTTTATAGATAAGAAACTAAGCTACAGAGAAGTTAAACAATTTGCCCGAGATGTCACCCCTAGGGGGTTATAGAGCTGGGTTCAAATCCAAGCCTGCCCGATGCCAATTTCCATGCTCATAACCAGTGTGGTGTAGACCGTCAGGCCAGGCACTGCTCAAAGATGAACCAGACTGTTCAATGTGGTATCAAAGGTGTCAGACCAGGCAGTGGCCTCAGACTCCAGCTTCCAGTGGGAGATAAAGTTACCCACCTG